ACGGCATCCTCAGCTCGGTCGAGCGGTACGATCCCGCGACGAACGCGTGGGAGGCGATGGCGCCGTTGACAACGGCGCGGAGTGCTAACACCGTGGCGGTGCTCGACGGCGAGCTGTACGCTGTGGGCGGACTGGGTGCCGGCGGCATCATCCTCAGCTCGGTCGAGCGGTACGACCCTGGTACGAATGCGTGGGAGGCGGTGGCGCCGATTGCGACGGCGCGACGTGCTTCTACCGCAGTCTTGAGCTAGTGGGCTTAGGCGCGGGCGTGCGGCGGCGGGCGGGTGTATCGCTTCTCACAGCGCGAGGACGCCTGGAGGCGCGGGGTCTCTGTCGGATCTTTTTACTTTTTCATTGGATACGCACAGAGCACAAGCTCGCGCGAGCCATGCACGTGTTTATTATATATCGTGATCAACTAATCCTGTTGACACCGTTCCGTGCGACTCTTATACTCACATGGCAGCCAAACGCTGCTGAGACACAGCAGCAAAGCAATCGACGCCCTATTGCAGCTGCTGTCGCGCTCCATCACGCGTGGCGCACATGTCTCGCAATACAGCGCGTGGCCGCACGCGAAGCGGACCGAGCGCGGCGCGTCGTAGCAGAGGTCACACAGGCGCTCCTCGGCCCCAGCCGTCTCCTCCATCTCCCCCGCCGCCTCGACTAGCGCCTCCAGCCGCGGCAGCGCCTCCACGAGCGGCATCCGCTTCTTCTTCTTCACGAGAGCCAGCCCAACCACGAGCCGCGCCAGCTCCTCGGCCTGCGCCGCCGACCAGCCCGCGTCGGCCGCCGCGATGCTCTCCGCCGTGTCGGGCTCCTCCAGCGCATCGTCGCACGCGTTGAGCAAGCCGAGAGCGCCGCGGCCGGTCAGGGCGACGAGCAACGTGCTGCCGAGCGCATAGCCATCGGTGAGCTGCGAAGCCTGACCGTCGTGCATGATGATCGAGTCCATGTAGCCGGGCTTGCCAAAGATACGCTGCGTCGACAGGTGCGAGACCTGCTGGCTGCCGCCGGCCGTCGCCTCTGCCGCGCGCGAGGACCACACGTCGGCGAGGTAGCCGTTGCCGCGCTCGTCGAGCAGGATGTTGCCCGCCGAAACGTCGCGGTGCAGGATCATGGGAGAGCGCGTGTGCAGGTAGTGCAGCGCGCTCGCCGCGTCGCGCAGCACGCGGAGCCGTGCGGCGCGGAGGAGAGCGGCTGAGGCGGCGTCTCGAAGCCGAGCATGCGGAGCCGCTGCAGCGCGGCTGGAGCGCGGTAGAGGCGGTCCTCGAGGCTGCCGCCGCGGCAGAGGGGGTAGACGAGGCACGCTCTCGCCGGCGCCAAGCAGACGCCGAGCAGGGGAAGCAGGGACCGGTGGCATGCCGCGCTGAGGGTGCGCACCTCGCTCTGCAGCTCGGCGAGGCCTTGGGCGCCGACACCGACCAGCGCTGTCTTGATGGCGAACCCGCAAGCGACGCGCGGAAGCGACGGCAGCGCGCCGCAGCGGTAGACGCGCCCAAAGCCTCCCTCGCCCACCTTGCGCGCCTCGGCAAAGCCGTCGGTCGCCGCGATGAGCTCGTCGAGAGGGACGGCGGCGGGCGGCGCGGCGGCGGCGGGGAGTGCGGGGACGCTCGCGGCGGCCGCGTCCGGTGCCGCCGGCGCCGCCTGGGGCGCCGCGGCGGCGTCGAGTGCCGGCGTCGCCGGCGGCGCCCTCGTCCTGGCCGCGGGGGTCGGCGCCTCTGTCTCCGCCCTTGCGCGCGCTGGCCTCCTCCGCCTTCGCCGCCGCGCGCGCCGG